AGAAGAACGTTTCGCCGGGTGGATTCGAGGGATGACAGCCTCGGGCTGGTGAAACCCTCAGGCGACGCGGATATTGAGTTCATGGTAACCATGGAGACGGGGCCTGAGGGCACGACGTTTGTGCGCTTTATCCCTTATTCCCGCGGTTACATGATCAACGCGGTCCCAATGAGCTCTCTTACCTCGTCTCTCACGTACGTCTCGTCCTTGCATAGCCGATATTAGATTGGTTGAGATATATATGTATATTTTTTTTATAATTCCTTTTTATCTTTTTATCTTTCTGTAAATTTTTCTATTCGAAGTTTTCTCTCCAATATGAAATAATAATTAAAAGTTATTAAAACCGGTACGCTTATCGTATTTTCGCTATTTTTTTCGTTATACGCAAAAATGTATCATAAACGAAAGAATCTCGGTCTTGTTAGCATTAATAATATAAACCAGTTCTTGAATTTCAAAATGAAAATTTACATTTTTACTAATTTAAAAAATTTTTTTTTAATAAATATTTTTTTTGAGCGATGCAGAACGATTTACGTCCCATAGTTATGCTCTTTTACCGCATTCTTTTCAGTTTTATTTCGGCTTGTCTTTAACGAAATTGTTCGGTCTCTGATCGGTTTGGGCGAGATCCAGGAATTCCAGGATTCCTTCGCAGCCGTTTATCGCGCACGTTCTCGGACAGGATATCGGTCGATCGTCCAGATATATCGCAGCCGGATGCAATTTCATCAGAAATCACGCGGTATTCATGGTCCCTCATCGCTGCCAAACGCAAGCACGTGTTACCAGAATGATCTTTCAACGGAGCTTGATGAGAAGACAGCCCTATTCAGTCGAGTTTGATGAGAAAACTCGATAATGCTTGTATTGTAAACTCTACGTCGCTACACGGAAACAGCAATAGCCATTATGGCGAATACTATACTCATAATCTATTTACTTGAAATAATAACGATAATTAAAACGTTGATATGAATTGAATGCATTACAAATTATAACCGATCGATACATCTGTCATCTTGATGGCGGATTGTATCTATTTTTTAAGTTCCTTTTTGAATCTTTGGAAAGCAAAAATGTTGATTCATTGACTTAACAATATCTTTATCGATATAAAAAAAAATCCAAAGATTGACTCTGTTTTCTATTTTCATACGTCAATTGTGATTGATTAATTTTTAAAGTAGAATACGTTCCACATTGCGCCGAATGTCATTTAGCTTTTTTGCTTGCAGATAATTATTTCCGAGTCATGCATTGCATATTTATCATAACTGTACTTTTATAATGCGATTATTAGAATGTTTCTGAAAATTTATAATAAAAATGGAAGAAACTTTTAAGAAAAATTATGTTTAATTATTTTAAGATTATATTTCATTATTTTATTTTACATTCTCTAATGTCGAATTTAACACATATAATGTATAAATAGATACTGAATTATGTGATAAAGTTTCAATCAAGACTAATGAGATTTTAAAGCACAAGCGAAATGTTCGGACAAAAAATGCAGATAGTGCGTGAAGTGCAGCCGGGAGCAACAGGTGTAGTATCATTTCGATGATAATTGACCCTGACGTAAAATTCATCGAGAATCTTTTGTAAATTGTGTCCGTCATATTAGAGCCAGTTTATGTTTAGATCCATTTATTCGTGGAACGTGTTTATTCGTAGATCGTAATCGATGTCATATCTCTGCGTAATCATTTTTAGTCAATGTCAAGTGCGCGTATGATTGGCATCGGCAATGTCATAAAAAGCGTCGCGGAAATATCATCCTGGCTGTGTCTGATGAAAAATTTTGCCGTTGAATAAAGTATTTCGCGTCGATAATATGGACTTGCGACAGTTTCATCAAGTGAACTCCGCGCGATCGTAGTTACTTATCCAATTTTCTACGGATTAATTTTGTAAATTTCAGATAATTTCAGATTTTTTCGGAAATATAATAATATTAGTGATTAATGACAATTATTATTTACAATAGTATTTTTTAAATTAGAT